TACTTTGTGACTACTTCTACTATAATATCTAAACTTTTGTGACTTCTTGTTCTTCCTGCAAGGTTGGTAAACAATTCCATGGCTCAAACCCAAACTCACAACTGTTTCCAGCTGCCTGCCAGGGTCTCAAATGCTTCTGACCTGGGCCCAGAACCTCCAAAAATGTCTGAGGGACATTTTGCGTTCCCACATTTTTGGAGCTCTGAGGGAGCAAAGTGGGGCTGCTCCTGGATCCTGGCCTCAGCAACGGGGCAGGATGTCCCAGAGCAGGTGCTGGGCCTGGGGAGATGCTGAGCCACCAGGAGCAGCTCCCTGGCTGCGCATGTCTGGGAAAACCTCCGGCTTTTAACAAGCAAATGAATGCGGTGTCCTGCTGTTTTGGGCAGATTTCCATATCGATCCCTGATCTATTTTTGCAGCCGCCGTTGGAGGTGGTGGTTATTTGTGTGTCTGCTATATCACAACTCATTGCATTTCCTCCTGGCACAGAGTGTTTGTGCTCGCAGGGGCTCCCTGGCCTTTGCCAGGTGGGAATTTGGCTCCTGGTCTGGCCTTGGCGTGGGGCTGCGGTGCTCCAGCATCCCTTCAGCCAGTCCTCCCCTTCAGGTGTCTCCTGGCTTCCTGAAATAAAGGATAACCCAATCTATCCCTCGCTCCCGAGTGGCCTGGCCTGGTGACACCACAACCTAATGACATTTCTGGGTGGCTGCGCTGTCAGTCCCACAGCTCATTACTGGCACTAATTAACCCTGTGCTGCTTTGATCTACAGTCACTAGTGCCATTTATCCTCATTTTGACAGGAATTTGCCCCCCCTCAGCTGCAGGAGATGCCTCCAAGGCCCAATAATGACATTTGAGGGGCTTCTTTTCCACGGTAGAAGTGGAGCCCCCGGTGCAGGGGGTGCTTAGGGGGCACTCCTGGGCAGCGCCGCTGCAGCCAGCACCAGTCACAGGCTCAGGGAGCCAGGCGGGGTCCCCTGTTGGGGCCTGAAGGGTGCCAGAGAGCAGCTTCCCCTTTGTCCCGTTAATTGCGAAGCCAATTGATCCCTGTATCCAATTTAAAGGCTTTAATGAACGAGTTCATGCGTGTAAGAGCTGGGAGAAGCCGGGCTGGCCATGATGCTGGTCCCGGGCTGTGCTGCAGCTTCGGTGCCGTGGGCTGAGGCACCTGGGGACGTGCCAGGGGTGGGACTGGCACTGTGGGGACCCTGTGTGGCATCTGCCCATCCTGCAGCTGCCGTGGGGCAGAGCAGGCAGCAGTGCTGGTCTGTACGCTGTGGGAGCATCTGTGTCTGTGCACGTTTCGGCCCCGTCGCCTTCCCCTCCCTCCTGCTGCTCCCGTGGCTGGGCCTCGGTGTGTGATAGTGCTGCTCTTCATTGAGCACCATCTGCACTTGGTAATTTAATTTTTCCTGCATCTGCAAGGTTCCAACTTTGTTGATGTGATGTCCTGGAGATTATTTCACTTCACAGCATCGTGTTTGTCCAGCCCAGGCACTGCAGGCATTCCACTGCGGCCCCTGCTAGATGAGATTTCAATAACGTTTGCACTGCCCCAGGAAAAAGGACACAAAAACTGAAATAGGGAAGGGTGACAGCAGAATTGAGGTGCGGGGATGGTTTTGCTGCCCGAATTGTGGCAGGAGGCTGCTGGGAGCGTTACCTCTGTTCTAAGAAATGGTGAGATGAGCAAGGAGCCCTGAGCAGCACAGCCCCTCCCTCACCAGCAGGGCTGGCAGCACATTTCAGTGCCTTGACACACGACATCTTTTGTCTTTGGATGCTTATTAGGATCTCAGCCCCCAGCTGTGCCTTGGAAGGGCTGACAGGAGGGAACTGAGGCATCTCCTTAGGAAAAGAAAAAAAAACTGGAAGCTGGAAAGTCACTTAGGTGTGGTGTGGGGGAGACCTGGGCATCTGGTTCATCTGAACATCTTGGACACTTCCAGGGATGGGGCAGCCACAGCTGCACTGGGCAAACTTCTCTGGGATGCAGGCAGGGCTGCCAGCACGAGTGATGCTGTGCCTCACTCTGGCTGTGTCTCCTGCTTCTCACCCTGGAACCCTGCTCTCTTCCACGCCCAATCCTCAGAAAATCAATTTTTTTTCCCCAGGCTGGTCCAGCAGCACCTGGATCCCTGTGCAGAATCTAATTAGGTCTAAGCATCTACCTCCCCTAAAATATAGGTTAGTTGTAATTAGCGTGACTCCTGTTGCTGCTGGCTCCGTGTTAATTAACTCCTGAAGTGGAGGTCAGTGCATGTGGGGCACCTTTGGAGCTTCAGCTTTTTTGGCTGCTCACCAGGTGCTTCAAGGAGGCTTTGGCCTGGATGATCCATGCTCAGGGCTAGGGCCACGTTCTCTGTCCTTGCCACCCGTGGTGTTCTGTCAGCCTTGGAGCTTGGGGACATGGCCACGTCCCTGGGCACAGGCACACACTCTGCTCTGAGCTGGAGGTGCTCGTGTGCCCGTGGGGCAGGGCACCTGTTTGGTGCTGGTTTTAACATGACACTCATCGTGTCCTTGTCCCTTGTCACCATCCATCACACCAAGTGTCCTCAACCCCTCGTGCCAGGAGCTGGGGCCGATGGTGAACGTGGCACCTTTGCCTTCCCCTGCAGTCCCTGGCACAGTCCCTGGCTGGTGGGGTTGGCAGCTGGCTGCCAGCACCTGGGAATGGTGTCAGGAATGGCACTGTGCCTTGCAGAGCCTGCGGGATGAGCCAGGGTTTGGAGAGCGAGGCGAGCTGGCAGAGTGGATTCCTGCAGAGCACAAACCCGCCCTGCCTCACCCGTGGCTCAGTGTAGGACAGGGCTGTTCCCCAGTGTCAGAATCTGTGGTATTGATGATCCCGAGATTGTAGAAAGTCTCTGTCTTTCAGCCCCACTGCCAAAAGCAGAAGCCATAATTGGTCTGTGCTGGTTTCAAGGTTGTTTATTCTGTTTATCTCTAACATGTTCTGCTGCCCTGCCGCAGCTCTGTCCTGCAGGGCAGCGTGTGGGGCTCTGCCCTCAGTGGGATGTTACAAACATTAAATACCACAAACTCCCTGTGCTGGATTTACAATAACGTGCCAATATCTGTCACCTACGTTGGACAGTGTGTCCCCAGCCTGAACCAACAGAAAAATGCCAACACCACAGTGAAACATGGAGGGCATGAAGAAAGAGAAAAAGGACAAGACACACCCAATTTCCTCCATCTTGTCCCCTCTGGACCCCTCATCTAGAATCCTAAAATTTTACTTTTGCACCCGTGCCACACTTAACTATTACTTATATCAAACACTCAGAGCTGGTAATTCACCCTGTAAGATTGAAAACTCTTTTCCATGGACAGAGATCACAGCCAGTGTCTCTGGGGGCTCTGTCCAGGGGGGTTCCTGACCCCTGCCAGGGCAGCCAGAGGGAAGCCCTGGATTCCCACACCCCAGCCCCTGGGACGAGCTGGAGGCACAGCTCAGCGCCCTTTGCTGGGGCTCTGCCCTGGGCATGGCTCTGTCCCTGCTCTCCTGGAGCCCCGGGCAGAGGCACCAAGCTCCGGGGAGCGCTTTGTGGCAGTGGGAACCCTGGGTTTTAGGCACTTCAAGCCTTCAGGAGCCCCGGTGCCACATCCTGGGAAAGGCTCAGCTCCACATGTGGGGAGCCCTAACCCCCCGGCTGGCTCCCCGAGCCCCAGCAGCTTTTCCCTGAGTACTTCCCTGCTCCCCCACCCCAGGCCCTGGCTGCCTATTTTTGCAGCTCCCGGGCTGTGAATCACTTCTCTCCCCCGTCTCAGCCGCTGCCTTTGAAGGTATTTATAAACCTCAGCGTCTCCCTGAGCAGAGGGAGGATCCGGCGCTCCGGCTCTCTCCTGCCCTCTCCTCCTCGCCAGATCCTTGTGGAGATGTGCAGGAGGTGAGATGATCCCTCTGCCCTGGTTAAAACCATCAATGAAGAGCCTGGCCAGCGCCTGGAGGGGTGTGGGATGTGCAGGGATAGATCTCCATGGATCCCTGGGGGTTTGGTGGCATGTCCAGTGCCAGGGGTGGATGAGCCAGGGCTGAGCCCAGAGCCCAGCTGGGGTCAGGGCAGCCTTGGCCATCCGTGGCCATGTGGCACAGGAGATGGGAGCATCCCACACCAGCTCCAGAGCAATTGGAGGAAATGGGATTTAAATTATCACCAGAGCAGTCACCAGCTGCCTCGTCCCACTGGTGTGCTGTTCCTGTTTCCAGCATGTCCCACTGATTACTGCGCTAATTTCTATGGATCTGGTGAGCAAATTAATCTCTTCTCTGCTCCTTCCCCTGGGACCCCTGCTCTGTAGGCTTGCATTCCTTTAATGTTTGGACAGGCTGGTGCAGATTGCTGGGATGGTGGTTGCTCTGGGACACGGTCAGGATCCATCTCCTGCCCTCCCGTCTGGCACAGCCACTCTGAGGGGCACTGAGGGGCTCCCACACAGCTCCCAGCTCTGCCAGGACATCATTCCACACAAAACATCCTATTGGCTTTGGGGAAAACCCATTGTGGAGGGACACTTCCCCCTCTCCTCCTCAGTTCCACCTTTCCTAAAACCAAGAAAAATGGGGTGGGGAGGGGAACATACTAAGAGAGAAACCAGGAGTAAAACAGGTCCAAGAGGCAGGAGCAGGAATTATTTTTAATTTGCTGGCTGCATGTGGAGTGGTTGACTGTCTTTTGAAGGCTATTAAGGTGGGATTCTGATGCTCATTAATTAGGCTAGAGGTCTTCAGCCTGAGCTGGGTGTGGCATTGCCAGGGTTTAGGTACCCAAAGAAATGCAACTTTTGCAGAAACAGGGAGAGATCCTCTGGCTGGGCTGTGGTGAAAATGGCTCTGCAGGTGCTGGGACCAATGGGTGGGAGTTAAAGAAGCAGGAGAGGGGATCAGCCCGAGGCTTTGGGGGAAACATGGACTGGGATAGGGGCTGGCTGTGTCTCCCTTGGTGTCCTGCAGCTGTGCTCACCCCTCACCACCCTTTCCATTCTCTTTCAGAACAAGGTGCTGACGGTGGATGGGGTGAAGGTGAAGCTGCAGGTATGTCTCCATGTCCCTGGAAGATCTCCCTTGCTGCCCTGGGTGTTCAGAGATGGCCAAAGCACCTCAGAGGACAAAGCAGAGGAGCACCCCCAAAACAGGATCTCACCTCTATCCTTTGTGGTGGTGTCTCCTGTTCTGGGACAGCCTTGCAGACCCTTCTGGCTGCTCTTTCCCCTTGGCAGGAGCCTGCAGAGGGCTGGGGGCTCTTCTGGCCACGGTGATCCCCACCCCAGCCCGTGTGCCCCTGCAGCCAGAGCTGCTCCAGCCCCCTTAGAGCTGACAGCTTCTCCGAGCCCTTTGCCCAGAGCTCAGTAGCACAGATCCCCCAGGCAGCAGCGTGCACTCTGCAAACCTCCCGCTGCATTAAGGCTGATAAATCACATTAGCAGGTCCCCATGCATCCATCTGCTCCGTGGATTTTCCAATTAATGGCCGTGTTGGGAGCCCTTGGCCACGTCGTGTCCCCACACTGAGGAGCGGGAATAGGCTGCTTCCAGAGATTGCTCTGGTCATTTTTCCTGCTGATGTCCCTGGGAGCAAAAGCTGGAGAAGCTTCCTGGGGTTGCAGCATTCTGTTTGGGCTGGTTTGGGTGGGTTCTGCTCAGGTCTGATCCCTCTGCTCCTGTGTGCCTCGCAGATCTGGGACACGGCCGGGCAGGAGCGCTTCCGCAGCGTCACCCACGCCTACTACCGGGATGCCCACGGTAAGCACGGCCACCTCGGCTCCCGGGAGCCCCTCCTGCCAGAGTGGCTTTCCACGGGAAGCAGCTGCCGTGGATGGAGGAGGCTCTGCAAACACAGCAGCGTGAGGTGCTCTGTGCTGGATTTCAGCGTGTTCTGTATCTCACCTCGTGTCCCCAGCAGTGACCTGCCACGGGGGCTGTGTGCTCTGAGCCATGGGCTCGGTTTGGCACAGGCACTCAGGGGCTGTCCCTCTCTCCACAGCCCTGCTCCTGCTCTACGATGTCACCAACAAAGCGTCCTTTGACAACATCCAGGTACAGCAGCACCCCGGCCCCTCAGGCTGTCCCTCACGTGTGGCTGGCTGGGTGTGGGTGTGGGTGTGGGTTCCTTCAGGAGGTGTGTGCTGCTGGTGGGAGCTGGGGTCACTTGCAGAAGGGCTGTGCTTACTGCTGAGCACCTGCAAGGACAGACAAGGGACAGGCAGAGAAGGTTTTCCCTTTCACAGCACATAAAGGGTGATGGATTCACTGCTCCGGCCAATTAACACTGTGTAATTACAGCACTGGCAGAGAACTTGCAGCATGTCCTGAGCCGGGGAGCAATTATCCCTGACTGAACTGGATGTAATTGCTCGTGTCCCGGGCATGAGCATCCCCGGGGAGCGGCTGTGCCTGCACACACACCCGGGGCTGTGGTGGCATCAGCACCCTGGGGCTGGGATGTGTCCCACGGGCTCCTGGGGTCCCACAGCTCCTGATCCCCCGTGGGCGTGGAGCTCTCCCTGCTCGGGAGCATCCTTCTCTCGGCAGCACCACACCTGCCACCCCTCTGTGCCTGCAGGGACAGGGCAGGGACAGGGCAGGTCCTGCCACCCTGCTCCGTGTCACCGGCGCTGGGAATGCTTCCCACCGTGTTCCCCAGGCTCTGGGTCTGCTCGAGGCCGGTGACCCTGTGAAAGAAAATCCTGTGCAGGTTTCACGTTGCTGGGGAACACGGCCCTGCCTGCAGCATCAGCAATCCTGAGGACACAGGAGAGATGTCCCTGCAGGACACACAGCCCCAGTGGGAATGAATGAGCACGCAGGGGAATTGCCAGGCTTTGGAAAGAGGGATGGAGCCAGAGGGAGCCGAAGGGAGTCAGGAGTGACTCCAACCCACGATGGAACTGGGCACCCTGAGCCCAGCCTGGGTGCAGTGCTGTCCTGAGGTTGCAGCCTCACGTGCTGGGCTCCTGCTGGGTTTGGAGCAGGGACCACCAGGACCACCGGGGATTACCAGGAATTGCCATGAGCCCTGCAACAGCACCGGAGACAGCAGGAGGCTGCTCACAGCACGGGGTCAGGGATTACAGGGAATTAGAGCAGGTTTGATTGGATTAGGCTGGATTAAAGGGCAGGGAAGCCACCCCACGGCTCAGGGAGGCAGGTTCGGTGCCTGCTGGGAGCAGCGTGCTTGGCACGGGGGCAGCACGGGCAGGACACGGGCACAGGGCACATCCCAGAGCCAGCCCTGAGCCTTGTCCTCTGAAAGGAGGTTCAGTCTGAACATCCCAGCCGAGGGGGAGCTGGGGTCAAAGCCCTACAAGCACCAGATGGAATGGGCAGGGAGGTCAGAAAGCTGCTGTTACCTGGGAAATGGGGATCTGGTAGCAGCCAAAGTGGGTCCCCCAGGGCTCAGGGGAACCCCACGGTACCCCCCTGTTGACAGGGATCATCTGTGGAACATCTCTGGGATTGTTTGGGATGGCAGCATTGCCTACTGAGGGTGTCCATGCCAGGACTGGGGCAGCTCCCCATCATTCCCATTCCCCTCCTTCTCCTGGAGCCATTGCCAACACCCCTCTCTTTGGCTGTGTCCTCCAGGCTTGGCTGACAGAGATCCATGAATACGCACAGCAGGATGTGGTCCTCATGTTACTGGGAAACAAGGTGAGCCTGGCCCCAGGGCTTTGCCACGGCCTCCTCTTCCTCCCACGCTGGAGGCACAGGCAGGGGAGCCTGGCAGGGCGTGAGGGGACAGGGAGGTACCTGCTGGTGGCCTTCCAAATCACCACAAATTGCTCTTTGCCATTCCTGTTGCAGGTGGATTCAGCCCAGGACAGAGTGGTGAAAAGGGAAGATGGAGAGAAGCTTGCCAAGGTAGGTGAGGTACCTGAGCATGTCCCTGAGAAGCAGGAAATGGTCACCTGGAGACCAGTCTGACCCAAAATACACCTGGGAACAGCTGGCTTTTTTCCCTTGTCATGCTCTCCACTTTCTCCTTATCTGTTCTTCCTTTAAGTTTCTACTAACACCTCTTGATTCTTTGTCCTCAAAAATGACTCCCGAGAGCCCCTGGGAACACCCTTGGTGCCACTCCTGACAGGGCTGTGTCTCATCCCGCAGGAATATGGAGTTCCCTTCATGGAGACCAGCGCCAAGAGCGGCCTCAACGTGGAATTAGCGTTCACAGCCATCGCCAAGTAAGTGACCAGAGCAGTGGCCTTGTCGTCCAAAGGAGCTTTAGCAGCGTCCAAGCCACGCTGAGATCAACTGAGCTGGGCAAGGCAGCTTGGAATCAGAATCTTGGGATGGCTTGGGTTGGAAGGGACCTTAAAGCCCATTCAGTTCCATCCCCTGCCATGGCAGGTTTCCACCATCCCAGCTTGCTCTAAGCCCTGTCAAGTCTGGACACTTCCAGGGATCCAGGGGCAGCCACAGCTTCTCTGGGCAACCTGTGCCAGGGCCTCACCACCCTCACAGGGAAGGATTTCTTCCAAAGATCCCATCTATCCCTGCCCTGCCAGGGGAAAGCCATTCCCTGTGTCCTCTCACTCCATGCCTTTGTCCAAACTCCCTCTCTGGCTCCTTCCAGACAAAATCCTCTCCCTGCCAGAAGCAGCGGCATGAGAGTAACATCCTTCCCCTTTCCCAGGGAGCTGAAGCACAGGTCCATGAAGCTGCCCAACGAGCCCAAATTCAAGCTCCACGACTACGTGAAGAAGGAAGTGCGAGGCTCGGGCTGCTGCAGGTCCTAACGTGCATTTCTAGAGACTCAGGCCCGTGGGCAGTGTGTGCATGTCTGTCTGTCGTGTCTGTGTCTGCCCCCAAGGCCAGCTGACACCAGGGCACAGGAGCAGCAGGAAAAGCTCTCTCGGATTCTGCAGCCCCGTGGGCTCCGGCTCCCCTCGCCAGCATTCCTGCCCTGCTCACAGGTGGGAGGTGGTGTTTGGGAAGGGGCTGGGGTCTCCTTCTGTGCCTGCTCCGTGAGGCTGCTGTAACCTTCCTGAGAGCCAGGGTGTGACACAGGGGAGCCAACACCTTCTCCCCACCTAGGAGGAAAAAAGTCCTGATTTTTTTCTGGGTAGGAGAACGTCCTGAATTCCCTTCTTTCCCTGTGTTCCTGGAATCCAGCTGAGAGCCCTGACCTGGGGCGTGCAGGAAGGATGTGTTTGAAGGCAGCCATTCTTGTAGTTGCTTTCTGCTGTCTGTCCATCCCTGTGAGGTGGGACAAGTTTCCACAGTGAGGGATTCTCCTGCTCCCTGCAAAGGCCGAGCTTGGCTGTCCAGGTGAGCTCCTGCACACCTGGCTGTGTACAGAGATTTCTGAATGTTCATCCCTTTGGGAAAGGCTCTGCTTCTCCCCCTTCCACCCTTTCTAGTACTTTGAGAAGAAACCTAATGTATTGCAGCTTATTCTAAATACCTTCCTGTAAGTGTGATGGTGTTTTCAGACTGCAACAACGCTTTGATATCTTCAAAGTTCTCTTGGGCAGCTCTCTCTTTTCACCGCAGAGCTGGGGGGAAGCTGCAGGCAGTGATTTTACAGGCTGCAGACTCTTGCCAGCTCTCTTCAAGGGCCTCCTCACCCCTTTGGTCTGTGTCAGGCTTTTGGCTGTTTTTTTGTCAAGCTGCACTTCTCGGTACAAATTTGAATCTGGATGAAGTGTTTGGCCTTTGGCGATTTTTCCCTTTGAAAACTCCACGCGCACATCAGCAGGTGCCCGCTGTGCCATGCCTCAGTGGCTGCTCCAAATGAAACAGCATAACCCATCCTCTGCCCTCCAGCCAGCACAGCCCCCACAGCTGCTGACTCAACTTGCTCCTGCCCCTCATTTTTCCTGGGATTTTGGCTCCAGCACCACCTTCCCGATGGGCACAAGGAGCCTCTGCAGCTCCCACGTGCTCTAAGCTTCACTTCTCAAGGAGCTACAGCAGCTACAGCTTCACAGGGTGAAAAAGGATCTTAAAACAAACCAGCTTTTCCCTAAATAGTATTTTTAGGGAGAGACAAATCTTTAATTTGTCTGATTTAAATTTTTAAAACACCTGTGGAAAACCCATTCTTGCAGGAACGTTTGCATTCCTGGCAAACTCTGCTGCCAGTCCTGCAGGAGCAGCCAGGTGAGCTCTGTGATGGGGCTCTCAGGGCAAATTTGGTTTTGTGTGGGGTGAGCTCTTTGATGGGGGGGCTCTCAGGGCAAATTTGGTTTTGTGTGGGGCAGGACCAGCCTGGCAGAGGCAGGGAACAGCCAGGCAGCTCCACAACTGTTTCCTCATCCTGCTCTTGGAGCAGCAGCAGCCCAATTAGATTCCTAATGGATTAGGATTCCTAATGTCAGGTTGCTGCCTTCCCTCTCCCTCAGACTGGCATCTGTCTGGCTTACAAAGCTGACAACTGCTCACTTCTCTCTCAGTGCAGGTCTAAAACAAATTAAAAACTCCTATAATTGAGGAAGATGTAAATGTTTTCCTTCAGAGCATTCCAGCCTGCCTGTGGGGAACACTCTGCTCCGGCAGAGGCCTCACAGCCCCGTTTGTGGCTCAGCCCTTTCTTCCCAGTAGTCAGTTCCCAGTGTGGGACTGGTTTCCCAGTGCCCGCACACTGGCCCGGCCCCAAAGCTCCTCCTCACGGCCATTTGGGATTTTCCGTGGGCCTTTGCTGCCACCACGCGGAACTGCTCAGCAAAGTTAATTATTAATTATTCGAGTTAATTGCTTGGTGCACCCAGCCACGTGCGAGGACTTGGCCTCACCTGCAACATCCCATTTCCACTGGCTCTTGTTTACAGCTTTTGGTTCATTCCTGTTAATAAAATTTTTTAATAATCTGCATGGCTACAGCAGCATTTTGATTTATCAGTCGTTCCAAGTATTTCAGTTCAGCCTCTAAACCATCTGGATCTACACAGCAGAACCAGGGAATGACAGAGTTTGAACTGGATATTGGGAGAATTTCTCCCCAAAAAGCGCTGTCCAGCCCTGGCACACAGTGTGGGAGTTGCCATCAAACCAAAGTGACTCCCAAGATTTCAAAGGGAGTGGGGCTGAGCAAAGTGCTGCAAATTTAATGCACTCCAATTACAGCATTTCCAGTCAGTCTGTGGAGGTACATGTCACCCATAAAAATGCTGATAAACAGAAGAAAACCCCAGATTTTTCAAAACTTTATTCACCTGTAAGCTACAAAATTTGCCGAGCATGTCCGGATGCTCTTGGACACTAAGTCACAAAAAGCATCCCTTGTGAACAAAGGAATAACCTTAAAAGCAACAGCCTGTTGCATATTCATATATCCTTCATGGTTATGTATGTATTCTATTTAAAACAAGAACTCTGCCTGTTGTATGTCAACTGTTTCCTTTAATCCCCAAGGCGTCTTTAAGTCGAGCAAGGCCTGAAGAAATTAGCTTCTTCTGATAAGAAAACTATAAATTCCTTTAAAGATTTAGGTTTTCCTCTAAACGAGTATTTCATTACTAAAAAAAAAATACTCTCCCCACAAACATAGTCTCTATTTTAACATTCTGTTGAAACCTAAAACTATATTTAACCCACTACTTAAGAGAATACAGCACAGCTTTCTAACATTACACATGTAATATTAATGGTAATATTTGCGAATTTTAATTATTAATTCATTAATACTCAATTATTAATTCATTATTATTTGCTATAACTTACAAATTAATAAACTTATATTGTTCTATTGCATACATTTACTTTATTCAAGCATGAGTTTCTCGTGATCTTTCTTAGGCCCCTGACCACAGTTTCTCATGATTATTTTTACGATTAAACAGTAATTATATTTAATTACTAACCAATCATCACATCTAACAATTATATCATTTATCATGTACCAGCTACACAGGCGCAGCTCTAGCAAGGTACGAGGCCTACATGCACCCAGGGTATTTTTTCAGGGCCTACTAAGCTTAATTTTCCTTCTAACCCTAAACCCCCATGATTTTAAACCACTTTTACTACCACGAACGTCGCCTTCGAGCGGCCCAGACCGTCGGGGAGTGCCGCGGATGGGGCACGGAGCCTCCGGGACGCCGCCGCCGGTTCCCGCCGAGCCCTGAGGGGAGAAAGCAGCGCGTGAGGGGAGCGAACCGCCCGCCCGCCCCGCCGGGCCGCGGCCCGCGGGCCTCAGCCGGGGCTGCTCAGCAGAGGCTGCGGCCGCCCGCCGCCCTCAGACGAGGTGTCAGAAAGGTTAGTGTGGATCATCACCGGCCCGCCCTCGGTAACAGCCCCGGTAACAGCCGTGCTCCTCTCACCCTCCGTTCTATCTCGTCCTGCGCCTCTTGCTGAAAAGAACGTGCGCGCCCCACGCTACGTCTTTTATGGCCACTGCCACGCCGCTATTGGTCAGCCTGCTGTGGGCACAGCCAATCGCCAGCGGTTGGCGTGACCACCGCCCCACCTCCCGCAGCGCTGATTGGTCGCTGTTCTCCTCTCCACCAATGGCGACGCGCAGCGCAGCGTGGCCCGAGGCGGTAGTTGCCGCCTTCTGATTGGTCACTTCAGCAGGCCGGGCAGAACCAGTAGGAACAGCGGTTGTAGCATGGAGCGACTCTCCGCGGGGCATGTTGGGAGTTGTAGTCCAAGCGGCTCGGCAGAACGGGCAGGAAGCGGCGCACGGGACTACAAGTCCCGAGGAGCGCTGGGCGCGGCAGTTCCGGGCCGGGCGGCGGTGAGGAGCAGGCCCGGGCGCGATGTGCCGGGACCGGGCACCGGCGCTGCGGCCGCCGCCGCCGCTGGGAGGTACGGGCGGGCCGGGGAGAGCCGGGCGGGCCGCGCCGGGCGGCTCCGCCACGGGAGGGGCCGGGCGGAGGAGCCGGCGGAGCCTCCCGGTGCCCGCCGCCCGCTGTGCCCGGGGTACCGGCGGCTCTGTGGGGCGCTCGGAGCAGCTCGAGCATCCTCTGCGCTGCTCCGGCCCCGCTCACCGCCGCCGGTGCGTTCGCTGGGTGTCACCGCGTAGCTGTGGCTTTTTCTGCTCGGTTTGGTCGTTTTGCGCTCCGTTCCGTGCCCGAGCGCAGCACGTGTTGCTGCTGCCGGTTCTTTCCTGCCTTCCCGGGCTCTCCGTGGCTGCCGCAGATGTGCAGGTGTGGGTCGGGGCTGTGACCTGCGGGTTGTGCATTGTGCCGGCCTCTCCTCGCCTCCAACCAGCTCTGGGGCTCTGTCCCCTGCCCCTGTGGGTTGTTCATTGTGCCGTCCTCGCCTCAAACCAGCTCTGGGGCTCTGTCCCCTGCCCCTGTGGGTTGTGCATTATGCATTTCCCTTGGGTTCCCCTTCCTTTGGAGCTCTGCTGGGCTCAGAGGCAGCGACAGGGCCGGTGAGTGTTACAGGAGTGGCTCCAGAATTGTCCCAAGAACTGTGACCCAGCAGTTGTCTTTGCCGCTTTGGCAACGTTGCTGTGCCTTTGTTTCAATCCCAGCAGTGTAATTCTGCCTCCCTGCGCGTTTCCCCCCCAGCGATGTGTTTCCAGGCTGCACTGAACACTCGGGTTCCTCTTAAACAGCTTTAAAAGCTGCAGCATTTTGGCCTCGAGTGTTTTTGGCTGCTCCTTCCAGCCACAGCGAGGATGGTGGGGCTTGCAGGAGAGGGTTTGGGGGTGAAGGATGGTTCCAGCAAGCCCTTGATGAGTGAAAGTAGTGTGAGATCACAGAATCCCAGAATTGTTTAGGTTGGAAAAAAATCTCCAAAACCACTCCATCCTGTGCCTGATCACAGCCCAGAGCTCTGAGTGCCACATCCAGGCATTCCTTGGACATCTCCAGGGATGGAGACTCCAAACCTCTTTGGGCAGCCCCTTCCATGAGGAAATTCCTTCTGATATGCAACCTGCACCTCCCCTGGCAAGGGAAATTCCTAAAATCCTGCAGGAAGCTGCAGGAGCGGGTCCTGTCTGCAGTCTGCTGGATTCCCTCCAGGCCCTGGGTCCCCTGTGTGGAGCAGGGAAGGGACAGGCTGAAGCTCCAGCACTGGGTTTGGTTTGTGTGCCGGTGACACTGCCTGAGGAAGGGAACATTTTACCCTGTGGAAATGGGAAATCTGAGCCACAGTGGTGTTTCCAGGCAGGGGATGCTGATACCTTCATTGCTAACCCTCAGACAGGGGTTTTCATATTGATTTGGCTTAAGGAAGGAAAAAAAAAAAACCAATCGATGGTTTTGGGGTGGTTTGGTTCCCTGAGCCGGGGGATCCCAGGGTGGCAGCACAGCCCTTGGTGTCCTGGAGCCATGTGTGAACTCCAGGTGGAAGTTTGTGTCCTCTGCCTGCACTCAGCCCTTCCCTTCCCCGGGCTGCAGCAGCCCGAGGTGCTGCTGGAGGTGCTGCTGGAGGTGCTGCTGGAGCCTCGGGGAGCTCTGGGTGGCTGCAGAGCTCCGGGTGCTGCTGCCAGCCCTGCCCTGCCCTGCTCCTGGGCGCTCTGCAGCCTCAGTGGGGTTCAGCCATCGGTCACCCCGAGGGCTGAGCCTTCCCCTGCTGCCTTCGGAGCCCTGCTGGCCTGGCTGGGGCATTTCCTGGAGTGTCCCTGTGCCTTTCTCACAGGTTATCCCGGCCAAGCCCAGGTGTGGCAGGAGGTGTGCACAGGAGAGAAAATCCTTCCTGGGTTCCAGCGCTCGGATTACGTGGCCGTGTTCAGTCTCTTGCAGCTCTTCCCTCCCGGTTTTTATTTGCACACACCAGCACGGCCCTGTGCCCGTGGCTTGGATCAGGGGGTCTAGGGACAGCTGGGACAAGGAGGGAGGCAGCTGATTGTCACCCCTCTTTGAGCCCAGCAGGTCCCCCAGGAGCCTAAAGGCAGCAGCACCCCAAATTACCCATTCATGCTGCTCCTGCTTTGCCTCGAGCACAGCTATTGTAAATGCAGGTGAACCCAACGGGAAGAAATGACAATGTCTGACTCAGTTCAGAAGGCTGAATGATTTCTTTATTATAACTGTGCTAAAATACATATAAAATACATTATATAGTATATTATACTATATAAAAGGAGGGTACTAAAACTACATACGACTTTCTCTATCTCTAACACAACTCGTGACCCTCTCTGAGAGTCCAGCCCCAGGCGGGTTGGATTGGCCACCAGGCTCCTCACCAGAATCCAACCAAACACTCACTCCAGGTAAACAATTCTCCAAACACATTCCACATAGGAAAAACAAGGAGCAGAAATAGAAATTGTTTTTCTCTTTCATTTCTCTCTGTGCACCTCTATGAAAAATCTTGAGAGAGAAATGTGCTTGCCACACACAGCCTTGGAGCTTCAGAGCCACCTTTGAACGAGGTGTCCTGGGGGCTGCTCCTGGGACAGCCCCAGCCCTGGGAGGGGTGTCCTGGCAGGGGGAGTCCCCCACCACCACCAGTGGCTGTGTTTCAGCCGAGTCCCGCTCCCCAGCTCTGCCTTTTTGGGTAACTGGGTTTCCCTGGATCGTCTCTCCTTGTCATGCAGAATTCTGAATAGTTTGGGAACTATAAAAGAGGGTGAGAAACTCAAACTCCCCTTAAAGCGAGGGAAGGACTTTTCTGTGTCAGGATCTTTCTCCGATCGGGGGAATAAATCCATGTGTGCTGGGAGAGGGATGTTTTTCCTGCACTGAACTGAACCCGGAGCAGCCGGGGCAAAGCTGGGAGGCAGCGTGGAGATTGGCTGAGCTGTGGGATTTTCCAGCTGGAGTTACATATCGCCCACTGGTCCGCATGCCTTTGTGTTTACATCAGCGGGGAGCGATCCACACGCACACACGTAGCGGAGGAGGCACTTTGGCCAGGGAGAAGCCTGTCCCCAGCTCAGGAACTGGGCATGGTGGTGGCATCTTGCCGGGCTCTGCCGCTCCAGGATGGCCATGGGTGAGTTTGCTCCAAGGAGAAGTGTTTGCTCCGGGTGCTGGGTGTCAGGCTCTCGGCAGCATTCCCGGGGAAGCTGCTCCCCTTCAGCAGCGAGGGAGGAGCTGTTTTCATCCCTCCTCGGGGAGCAGGAGGTACCTGAGTCCTGCAGCAGCTTGGACGGGGGTACCTGTGACCCCTCCAGCAGCTGCAGCTGTGTTACCCTGATTTTCTGGTCCTTCAGAGTGACCTTGGCAAGGGCACGGACTGCTTGATTGCAGCAACCCAGCAAGAGTGTCCTGAGGTTATTCTGGTGTTTCAGAAGTAGGAAATCCTCACTGTTCCTTAGGCAGAGCTGTGAGCACAGAAGACAAGTTTGTAAGGAGAGGCCGTGTCCCCTGGAATTCTGTGTCACCCTGGGGGAGTTTAATCTGTGGTGTTTGGGGCTGTGGGACACTGAGTGGTGCTTCTGTCTCAAAGCTGTCAGCAGATTTGCCCTGGTGGAAGTGTCCACATCTCCTGATTTCTTTTGGAATCAAAGATTTGCTTTTGTTTCTCCCAGGATCACTAATTTGATTGATGAGTGTTGGTGTCTACAGGTGCCTCCTGCTTGTTTTCAGTGGCAAAACCCAAGGGAATGTGCAAAAAAAGAGCAGGTGACTAGAATGTGCTGGGTTTTTTGTTTTTCTTCTGAAGAAGATGATGTATTTAAGCTGGATCTTTGAAGTGTTCTAGTTGCATCCAGAGGTCAGAGAAGCGTGTGTGTCACGAGGTGTCAAAACTTTGGAGGATGTTGGGGGGAGCAGGGGGTGGAAGTGCTACTTTGTGCTTTTTGAGTCATGGCTATGGGCTCAGGTTTGCTATGACTTTAACCTGGAAGAATCCCATAGTGTGGTGAGGTGGTTGCAGCTCTCCAGAGGATGCAGTGCAGCCAACCATAAGGCAAAGCAGCTGGAAAAGGCCTCAGCCATGGCACAGGAATTGGGGAATAAAGGAGAGAGGAGCTCTGATTGCTTTGGCTCTAGCAGGACTCCAGGGGAGCAGAATCCAGGTGAGACAAACATTGCTCTGGCTTCCTTGGAAGAACAGAAGCCGAATTTCTCCATCCCCCAGGGGTTGTCAGTTGAGCTGCAGGCCCCTCTCTCTGTCAGATTTGCAGCAGGAGAGCAAGAGCAGAGCTGAGGCAGCCCACAGGACCCCGTGGGGTCTTGGCAGCCACTTGTTCTCTGTGTCAGACAGGTCTGAGGAGCACCAGTTGTGGTGTGAGTGGTGAGGGGGACTGCTCTCAGCTTCTGAGGTGTGGTACCTTCCATCAGGATCTGCCTCACACAGAGCTGACTCTTCCCTCCCGAGGAACTGCAGCAGCACTGAGATTTCTGCCTTGGAGTGGGAGGACGTTGTTGGTTTCAGGGCTTGGCTGGGTTTTGTTCTTTTTCCTTCACCAAATCCACAAGTGAGCAATGTGATGTTCTCTGTTCTTTGAGGGAGCGCGTGGAAGAGCACAAGCTGTGAGAGGCACAGCAAGCAGCTGTGCAGTGGCAGGGCCAACTTTTAAAGCACCTTTTGATTAAGGTCCTTGTGTGGCAGAGCTGTGGATGTGCCTGTTCCTGCCCAGCAGTGACTGAGCAGCTGCTGAGCCCACACAGGACAGTTTCGGTTGCAGGGTCAGAACTGGGCTGCATAACAAAAATGGTTTTGTATGTGGATCCCCCCAGGTTACCTGAAATG